CCTGCCACTTTACGATAGAGCTTTTCGTACTCTGGTTCTGTGCTGTACAAGCCAACAATAAAACTGCCCCTGTTTAACTATTATCACTTCTGTTAATGTATCGGAATTCTTGCACTATCGCTAGCATCTGTACAACTGATGTGATCGATAAAGATATTGGTATTACTAGATAAACTGATTGTATACCAGTTGTAAATGTTAGTTGCATCATTATTAGTAGTAACATAGCTGTAGATACTTTCACAATTTACTATTACGCTATGACCAGTAGCAGCAATAAAACTGTTCCTATTATCAAGGAGGGTAGAAGCGATAATGCTTAATGTTATTAATATTATTGCTTCATAAAAATAGTCAGCTATTCGTACTTCCCATTATGTCACATAGCAAATTACTCTTCCAAGACCAGAATTCAGGGCGTGTTCCATCGCCTCGTTGTTCCTAGTTTCTTAGAGAGATTTTTTAAGCATCAACCACGGCTCTATGGTGTTGGAGCAGTAGCATCATTTTCTCTGGTACCGTGAAACCGTGACTTGCTTAAATGCCCCCTCAAGCAGGAAGGAGCAAAGGGTCGGCGCAATACGCCATGAAATGTGATATCTGAAGAGTAATTCGTTATTTGATGTATTCGAGCGTACGAACAGCTTATGATGTTCGTGCGGTAACATATAAAGAGTACTGGTTCCTGAAACGTTGTTCATGATGAACATAAGGTAGCTCTAGCGGACAAAGTAGTGCGAGATGCATCTGGCAATCGAGTTGCTCAAATTATTTGTAGTAATGTACTCGAACTATTACGATACTGTGGCTGCTACTGTTAATAACTCTGCTTTACAGTATCATCATTTCCGTTAATATATCTTTATTATTGCGCAGATCCGCTAGCAGTACCTTGATGATATTAGCAGTGTTACTATTAATCATAATCAGTTTAATCAACAACATCAATGTTTGTACTATCACCGGTGCTAATAGTTGGGTTAGTACTAGAGTCCATTATTAGAAGTGTTACTACAAGTTTTTTTCTCGTCTTCTGAATGTTGTCATAATGGCGCACATATCATAATATTGCCATCGGTGACAGTATATTATTGACAGCTCACTAGCACTAGCAGTTGTGTAACTAACTGTAGAGCTGCTACTACTTCTGATGCTACAGACATCTTTGTGTAGTATTTGCGAAATTTATGATGTTTACACAAGCTGTTGCTTTATTCTTAAACCTGCACCATTGCATGTAGCTATAAGGATGCCAAGAGCACCTGAATTAGTAGTATTTGTTACACTATGATTGTTTAGACGACTTTTGTAAATACCATTCGGATGACTGTAGACAACAGCACAGTGGTTCTAGCAGTATACCGGTATGATTGGCAGTTTAGTTGCACTGATAGCAGAGTAAACAACAGCGGTGCTGCTAACAGTTCTAACACCATTACTAGAGGTAATGGCATAGATGTCGACAATACGAAAATTAATCGAACAACTATCAGCATGTCATTGCGAGTAGTAAACATCATTCGGTTTTTCTTCACTTTCATGATTAGACCATTTTGGCGCCCGTCTTTTTATGAAGTTGATGACGCGGTTCTGATCTCCATTTCTCTGCCATCAGCCAAGAGTGCTTTATGTTTTAAAGGCGACGTATACAGCCATACAGCAAGCGTAGTGTGTAATCTCTTGTTTCGTTCCTACAGGGGGTACTTATTTATCAAACTCGTAAGGAAAAAGGGCGTGACACTAAGTAGCTAGGGAAACAAGGGATTAGTTTTGCTGGCATCCTCAAATGCAAATGCTACTAATTTTGCTGTACTGAAGCTGACTGTGGTACTGCATGTAATAATAGCGCTAAATTTAGCAGAGCTACTACTACTTCTGATGTATTATTTATGATATTATAATCGTAATACAACTGCCCGTACTCTTACTGGTGGTACTGCAAAATTAGTGTGATAATAACAACTGAAAGATGCGTTTTTTGTCTCAAAGTTATGCCACTGCTACAATTCGGTTAATTTTTGTTTAGGGAATTCTTTCACTCTTGATGCTCACTAGTACTGACGTTTATGCTCTGATCAACTACGTTAGCTTCACCGAATCGCTCATGTTTGGCACCGCCGTGGCTGGACTGCTATACCTCCGTTGGAAGAAACCGGAAATGCCTCGGCCCATTAAAGTAATATTTAATCAGCAGCAATTAATTACGAATATTACGGGATAATTAGGTGTGACTGTTGGCTTGGTGCTTTCAGCTTAATTTGTCGATACCGATCGCCTTCTGTGTAATGTGCATCTTTCTGCTAATACTACCATTCTTCACACAACCGCACGAAGTAGCGATCGGTACGGCCATCGTACTGTCAGGAATCCCAGTGTTCTATTTTCATAAATATTGCTTGCCGAAGCTAGTGTGGTTTAGAATACAGTGGAGTAAGTGATTCTCAGTTTATTTTTTATATTCGTATGTCATATTTTCTTTAGACAACTTTACGCGTTTTTGTCAGAAGCTGGCCTACTGCGTACCTGAGGAAGCGGCTATTGGTAGTCAGAATTGAGAAATAGCTGTGAATCGAAAGATAATACTCATGAATCCTGAAATGCTTCGATAAACTGAACACAACTCTGCTTTAATTTCAAAACTGAAAAATTTCCTCAACAACCAAAAAGCGAAACCATAACTTCCTAAATTGCCAACAATGACGTCAGAATAATGATCGTGAAAGACACTATTCTGCGTGAGCATAAAAAGGCGAATTCTGACATAGTGACTTTTTATATGTCTTATATTCGTTCTTCACTCCCTCCTGACCATCAAGCAGCCATATCCAGGTGGCGATTCATTTTTTCAGCAAATGCAACGCGATATGTCGTTTTGAGACGAACCTCTAATGCATCGTTGTCGATCAGCCGCACAGCGTTGCCGAACTTGTTGCGTCTACTCTAAAAGACATGTTGAAATTTTACGTTGATCGCTGCTCAGCTCCACTACGATAACTGCATTCGACGCAGATGTCGATAAAGTAGGTTCTTCGATCAGATCTTGGTTATTCATTGTTGATTGAGATTTATTTAAATTGAAGCCAACGAGTGGCTGCTTCTTCGTCATCGGAGGAGCTGGAACTATTAGAGATGTGGGGATCCGCAGACAGCTAAAGCAAAAACAAGAATTTTGACAGATTTTAGATCTTAATTAATGAATATTATTCACTAAAACGGAATATTTCAATCAAATAGTGGTTGTCATAAATTTGGTGCCGTTGTAAGCAGACCGAAAAATGGTTTTCTTCAGAAACATCTATATTCAAATATCTAGTGAATCCTGACGTCGATTTTAAAGCAAAGTTTATAAACATTAAGTTTAATTATACAAATACGTTCATTTTACTTTTCTGATCCTATAAAAGTCGTCAGAAGAACTTCAAAGAAGAATCCAATAGCTAAACGACACTTGGCACGAAAGTAGGCTGGAAAATGAACCGAAAAAAGACTCAGGTCATGTTTAACAGACTTGTGACCTTGTAACTTGTTCAATTTAACGAAATCTGTCTGTCTCGAACAATTCATCTCTGCAACTGAGAACGGATTATGTGAAAACAACAAAAGAATAAAAAAGCATGAAGCACTTTTAAAGGACTGAAAATTTTTTTATGTGGAAAAATGCCTTTGGGCTTGAAATGGAAAATTTTCGATCAGTGTGTGCTACAATTGCTAACATGTGGATACAAAGAGGACCGTATGCCTGAAAGTAGTTCATAAACTGGTGACTAAACAACTAAGCATGAAACAATGTATGCTGGAAATAACCGCAAAAGATAGGAGAACAAATTAAGGGTTAAATACACAAAGAAAGGTCTGTGATGCCACTGCCCAGCTGACAAGAACCGGCCATCACTAGATCAGAGATATAAGACGGTTCCGAGAGACAGGAAACGATCCATAAGATCGAAATCGTCCAGCTCGATGACAAGAGAAGTTGGCTGGATCAACTAGACGAATATAAATAGCAAAAAATGGAAGTTAGTGGCAACTCTTCATCTAGCAGTAGATCGAGGGGATACAAATAATTCATTTCAAATAAAATTTTATTTACTTAAATTTTAAATACTCTTGTAACGTTTTGTAAATCAGAATGCGCTGTCACTGTTGAATCGGGAACAAGATTCGCAACGATTTTGCATCTAGGAAGGAGAACCGCCTCAGGGGTGCATAAAATTTTGTGGCTGCCATTTGTTTTGATGACGAGCTTTTATTTGTGCCGAAGCCTTTGTTTGCATTCAGAGGGTATCCAAAGGTATTAACGTTACGAGAGGATACTAAATTGTGAAGAGTCATAAAAGCTGAGTTTCACACATCTATTAGTAATTGTTACGGCATATCAATGGCAACGATGCTGAACTGAATTTTTAAGTGTCTCCTGTCTGTTCGCTAGCTCAGGGATCAGGGAACTTTTTTACGTATTGCCCGAAAATATGTTTATATACGGCGACGTTACCCCCTTGATTTAAAAGGGAAAAAATGATCGAGTATTTCAATTCAAAAGGTTGACTGAATCTGTTTATACGGAGAATACAATTACAAATATAAAAAGTGTAAAATAAATGCATAACAAATATCCTCATCATAAAACAAATAAATTTCCTTGAAAACTTTTTCATTTCAGGGTTGGGAGAAATGATGTTGTTTCATCTTTGATACAATAACATCAAAATTGGGACATTTCTATGTCAGAGCAATCTGGATACTGTCCAAACAATTTCTCTAGCAACCGTTACTACGAATCTCGGAACTCTGCCGATGTTTTAAGTTTTTAAGTTCATTTAAATTTACAATAATTTAATTGGTAAACGTGGCACTAAGACATGTCCTTAAGATGAAGCCATTATTTAATTACTTTACATCGAAAATTAATCGAGCAAGGAGAAAACATTAATCAAATCATTTAATTAACATGCAATTAAATCAGGGTTAATAAATGAAACTCTTAGACTTAAAATAGAACTATTGAAATACATTAAATTAAATAAATACTTAAATCGACTTAAGCAGTAGAAAGTCGTGTCAAAAAATAAAGTTAAGGCGAGTAACAGACAAGCGACAAATAATATCTGTTTAATCACTTGACAACGCCTTTCCAACCAAACTGTTTGGAGTTCAACATGGGCGAAGTCTCCTAAACACGTCTATTATTTTGGTCAAATGCAGTTTTGCCAGAAGAAAAATTTCAGTCGTAACAAGAAACGCGCTTTTATATAATTTTGTTTATGCCTATTGAGTCATCATTACCCCCAAAAAAATTACGTTTTTAATCCACTTGGGGTAATTTAGCCCTGTTCGCCGTTCCCTGATCTAACTGTTGGTTTTACTGTGACATGTACTGCAGTTGTATGACGTGGTTCTTTAGTATACTGTTTTCTACAAAAGGCAAAGGCCTTTTCATTTGCTCTGGTGCAAAAGATGGAAGCAACTGACTTCACAATGATTTATGTAAGATTCTGTCACTACTCGATTGTAAATATAAAGCGCTGACCGTAATCCCTTTATTCAGATTTCTAGCTAGAGTATCTTTGACGAAGAATGATTCACCTTCAATGTACGATAGAATTAACGTATCGCTTATTGGTGCCGTTTTTAACTACCGTCTCAGAGTTAATGAGACGATTCATATTTAGCATAGAAGTAAAAAGGAAAGAAAGAGCTAAGTTTGTAGTAGTTGAAATGTCGGTCTTCTCTACAGAAGATGAGATCATTCTGCCGCCTATCTTTTCATGAACTTGTTGATGTAATACTAGTTTCTGTTTTTATAGATCAGACAGGAGCGTCTAATTTTAAACGCAGAGACCACAGTCATGTGACAAGTCTGATTTTTCTTGAAGATGAAAACTGATCAAGAAATTATGTTCATTTTTCGGGATACTGAAACTTTGGCCCTTCTCAGAATCACTGATTTGCTACTATTTTTGCATGTTTTTCTACTTCTCTCAAAATTCTCCTCGACATTATGCATGTTTCATTATTCTACTGATCTATGTGGAAAATATCAGACCAAAGAAAATGTCTACCGGTCAAAGCGATGAACACTTTTCACTTCTAGGTATAATTAAATCTAAGTATGATTTTATAATTGATTGACTGTAACTACAAAGAGCCTAGAAAACTTGATTCCTCTTTTGTCATACTTCCAGTCCAAAGATCCATGGTGCGCAAAGCAATAAACTACGGTTATTAGTGCCAACTGAGATTTCATTTTTGCTGTTCGTGATGCCGAAGATACGTTGCATTTTTTGCGAAGCTTAAGTAATAAACTTAACTTTTGTGTGGTTCGTTTCAATCGTTACCTTGAACAATGGATCGGGAAGCGAATACCATAAACTTACAGCGGACCTTAAGAATTTTAAGAGTTAATTAATGCAAACTCTTTTCAAGATTAAAAAATTAATTAAAAAACAAGCAAATGGAAAATTCTATACTTTCCTATTCCATCAACTTACTTTGGAAGCATGCGAGATGACATTCGTCGCACATCCTGGAAGTATTCGTCTACGACGCTCGGCGCCGTCGTATGTGCCTTAGAATTACACTGTCCCTGTCTGCCGACGTAACAACGCTTCAGACTTTCCGGAGTCGGCCATTCTTTAATTTCCCAAATATATCGATCATCGACGGCAGGCGTTTGTAATATTTCAACAGGGGTGCCACTGGGAGACCATGCGTTTGTCATTTCACTGTCATGGATCTCCTGAAATGGAATCGCAGCAGTAGTGACGTATTCTCTGATATCAAGTTGATCACAAAAATTGAAAAGGAAAGATTGCAACGATGATGCAGTATACCGATGGCATGGCAAAACACAGATATAATTTGAACTTGTTTTAATAATGATCTACTCCTTTGTTCATGCAACTGTAATGTTTCGACTGATGGAATACCACTCTTCAGCATGTTCAAAAATGGTAACAAATGCCATTTTGTTTTCTGAACTATTGTCAAGTATTACGATACAAATAAGTGTCGAAGCATCCAT